CGCTAAGGTAAGAGCACGAGGGGCGGTTACAAGGAAAAGGGAAACTCAGGTTTGGGGAAGGAGGACCACTCAGGTTCAGACATTTTTTTTTGTCTTTTTCCTTCTTTAGGGGTACCGGGGATCGAACTCACAACTGCCTGCTTTACAAGGCAGGCGCTTATGCTGCTGAGCTAAATCCCCAGTCTCGTTCAGACATTTCTGTATTCATTCATCCCAGAAGCCCTAAGGGCATGCTCATCCTAAACTGGAGCTTGGAACCATGCAGTAAAGGAAAAAAAAAAAAAAAGAAAACATGCCCCTTCTCTGTCTGAGCCAGGCAGGACATGTGTCACCAGGCAGGACAGACAGCAGAACCTCAAGAAGATACCAGCACACAAGACCTGTCTGTTCCTTGAACAACTATACCAAAGAGGAAGGAATTGCAAACTGGGAGTTTTGTCTTTAACTAGAGGCAACAAGATTTGAAGCAGCGTTCACCCACTGTGACTCAGCTTGCAACTAATCTTCATCATCAAGGAGGTATCGTGACCATCCTGTCACCGCCCAGAGCCCATTAAGGCTCGGGCATTTGCTTCTTTCAGTCATTCACTGCCCTCTGCAGTTATCCTGCTTGTCTCTATTTTCCCCTCTGGACTCTCACCTCACGATGTCCTGGATCATATCTATGAGGCCATTAAGGCTGCAGGCCCTGGTGGGAATGTGTTGGGGACGCTCTTCCTCACTCGAGTGTGCTGGTTGAGGTGCTTACCAGAGGTTTGCATTAACATGCAGCCTAGTTTCCCCTGCTGTAGCGAATGGAGACTCAGAGTATTGCAGGTGCAGAAGGTAACTCCCCTTCTTCTGTCAGCCCAAGTACCTGAGCCCTTATCAGAGACCTGAGAGCCAAGCCTGTGGCCACACTAAGTTGCCTTGACACCAGCAGTGCAGGAAGCCCTGGGGGTCGGATCAGGAGAGGGATCATGGGACACGCCTGATACTCCATCAATCCTGAACCCAACAGCCGTCCTCTGTTATCCTATAGATGAGGCCATATATATCTCCTGTCTCCTGTATCACCCGCCCTCTGTTTTCATAAGTAGTGGGGAAACAGGGACAATTGATGGGCCAAAGACACTGGCTGCATTCCAGGAGGAGTCTGTGGTGAGGGATTCAGGCCATTGCTATGAAACTACTGTTACCAATGCTGTGCAAGACGACGTCTGACCATAGGCTTCATGTGAGCAGAAGATTGGGTTTATTCTGTTTAGGTGCAGATGGGCTGAGATTGTGAATGATATCAGCGGCTGGTTGGAGAAGTTGAGTTTTTATAGGGCTTGCAGATAGGATTATAATCCCAAGGCATTTGGGTGGAATGCTTGGGGTCAACAGTCCCAGGATGGTCAGTGCAGGTGTGTAGATAACAGAGGATTTTCTGGTGCCAGGTAGATTACAGATCCTATCCCAGAATTTCTTTATGGTCATGTTTCCTGTTTTTGTTGTTGTTGTTGTTGTTGTTGTTTGTTTTCCTTTTTTTTTGTCTTTTTCCTTTTCCTTTTCATCAGTACCAGGGATCGAACCCACGACTGCCTGCTTGCAAGGCAGGCGCTTATGCCACTGAGCTAAATCCCCAGCCCCTGTTTCCTGTTTTCTGAGGGCAGCATGGAGGGTGGCATGTTTGCCAAGAGGGTTTCTCTAGGTCAGGTATGACATTTACACAGATCAACTCCTTTTGCATTTTGTAACTTAGAATGGATGAAACTGATCATTGTCCTCCAAAAATAATACACATATATTTAAAAACATGTGTACATGTTCATAATATATGCATATATATAAATATGTGTTCATATGTTTATAATCCATGCACATATATTATAGACAAATATATGTGTATGTATTTGTTGTTTTGCAGTACTGGAAATTGAACCCAAGGCCTCATGTGTGCTAGACAAGGGCCCCCTACTGAGCTATACCCCAGCCCTACGTATTGTTTATTGCCATTTTAGTATCAGTGAAATTAAAAGAACATTCAAGGAATCATAGTGTCTTAGTTATCTGATTCAGTGTCGAGACAAAATATCTGACACCTAAAGTTAAAGGAGGAAAGGTTTATCTGGCTCACGGTTTGTAGAGGTTTCAGTTCATAGTTGGCCGGCTCCAAGGCAGGGCGGCATGGCGGAGGGGCCTTGCACAGGAGAAACAGTCCATGGCAAAACAGGGCAGGCAAAAGGTAGGAAGCAGCAAGCAAAACACAAGGACAGGTGACAACCAGCAACCCTCTGTATCTAAAATCCTATCCAGGCTGCCTGTCGTTAGGTTGAGCATCACTCACACCCAATGTGGAGCACCCTTAATCCTACCTGCCAAGATAGTCAGTGGACCAATTTAGTAATTAACACCCTTAACCCCAGTATCTCATGCTCTGTGTCCAGAAACCAATGAAAAAGCCCTACCTATGGCTCATGAGGATTGGGGGGACATATAGACACAAGCCATAAAACATGGTAAAAAACAAGTAAACTAGAAACAGCTCAGACGGGCTGTTACCCAATATGCTTTACACATAGGATAACATGAAATTGATAATTAAAAGTCTTTTTGGTTTTTTGGGAGTTTTTGTTTTTTGAGACAAGGTCTTGCTTCCTAGTTCAGGCTGGCCTCGAACTTGCAGCTATTTTTTGCCTCAGCCTCAAATATGTGGGGATTGTAGGCATGCACCAGCTTTAAAGACCCTTTTAATGTTTTTATTTCTGGCCATTTTGATCTCTTCATTAACAAAGTGAGGAATATTTTAAATCTAAGCTTTGAAACTAATCTACTTTAGATCGTTCCTTTTAAATACCTTCCTCAACTGCAGCTGATGGTGGCGCATCACATACAGTGCTGACTCGGCCAGCTCTCTTTACTTTTGGTTGTGTTCATCCTCCCTCCTGAGCTGGGGTGGATATGAAGGTGGAGGGTCCTCGATGGAAACACGGAGAGAAAATCAATTTTACAAGGGAAATGGAGCATCCTAAATTGTTTCAGTGAAGTGATAGACCAATTGCACATTTTGCTAGGAAGGTAATTTCTGCCCTAGTCTAACAATGGAGGGAGAGAGAATGAACACATTATAATACAGGGCACTTACCCCGTATGTTACCATTAAGTATCCTCCCAAAGTGATATATTTCTAACCACTAGATAGGAAACCAGAAATGACTCAATTAACACCCCCTGTGCTACTTCATCCTCTCTGAGCACCCTCGAGCCCATCGTCCTTAGGAACAATGGTTCCTTACCTGAAGCATGCCACCCTCTTCCAGTCCTGTTGCTCACCAGTGTTCTCCGTGACATGGACAAACAGCTGTGGCCGCCTAGTGTTCATTAAGATTTCTGTGCTTGCTGAGTGATCTTCATCCTAAACTGTTCATGTGTGCTTGTCCTGACTGGTCCCAACACCTCAGTGATCCTTAGAGCTACCTGTGGCTGCTCAGCCCTGTGCCTAACTGCAGAGGGACAAAGTCCGCAGGCACCGGACATCAGTGTACTTTAAATGTTAGCTGAGCTCTGGCTGCTGGCCGGAAGTCCACAGGAGCCATGACTGTGCGGTTGTGACTGCTGCTTATCGTAGCATATAGCCTTCGAGCATGAACGGACTCAAACACCCTTGGGGCTGGGAAGGAGGAGATAGGAGCTGACAATGTCTTAATTCGTTTAAAATACTGAACATAGGAGAAAAGCCAAAAGATGCTTTAAAAACGTGAAAGAAGCTTACCCTTCCTCCACTGTCCCGGGTTAAATGTACTATAAACTACAGAAATGAAAGCTGTGGGTACAGTCCGAGTCTAGACAGAAAGAAAAACCTGACCTGTACAGCACGCGAGGGTGCGTAACACTCAGCATAACATGTGCTAAAACACAGTACCAAGAGGGCTCAAAAGTAATGTGGCTCAAGGGAAACGCAATTTTTCCCCTTAATAGCTCAGTTCTTACCCTTTCCCATGCACCCCAAACTCGGCTGTCCTGAGCCATCACAGGGTGCATCCCCATTGGTCCTCAGCAGATTAAAGCTGAACTCAAAGGCAGGTGGGAAATGTCCCCTGTCACTCAGTCAGGCCAGCCTGCGGGAGGCAGTCACTTCAGGGGATATAGTGCTCCCCTTCCACTGGAGCCTTGCATGGCAAACCTGGCCCCATTCACCTGCTAGAAAGGGCACCTATAAAGCAACCATCCGTACTAGTGTACCCCAGTGGGGCATCCCAGAGCATGGACCCTCTATAAGCAATTCTGTGGACAAAGGGAGTGGGTGCCACAAAGCTGGAAGCATGTGGCAGGAGGGGCAGGCTGGGCCAGGCTGCCAGCTTGAGGGAGGTAAGGCCATGACTGCACTACAGATTTTCTTTCTTTGCAAGCAACTTGCTAGTCACCCCACCCCTGCTGCTTTCTGATCCAGCAGCTACTGCCCACCACACTAGGTCAGCCACTCCTTCCTGTGGCCGGCCAGCTCAGCAGCCTCCAGAAGGAAGCTCCAAGGAAGCAGCTTCCAGTCAGGTGCCAGGTACCCGGTGCAGCATGCTCAGGACAGGGAAGCCAGAGGGGCAGGTGGCTGGGGACGCGTAGCGCCCTCCGGTGTTCGAGGAGAACAAAGCAATGACAGCAGCCACTTGGCACGGGGGAAGATGGATTTGTCTGTCTGCTGTGTTGTTTCCATAGAAGCAGGGTTTAGCCTTTTAAGTGAAGATTATAAAGCCACCTAATTCATTAAAATTAGGCTTCGAGCATCTCAGTACTTAATGCCCAAGTGTCTCCAAGGGACCCGCTGCAACCATCGATCTGATTGCCAGGTGGAGCTAGGGTCTCTGTGGTGAGGGAAGACTCCCGTTTTGGCAGTAACCTGTTTTATTTTTTTAAAGTTAACTTCACGAGGAGGTATAACTCTGTGAAAGATCATGAGGGTATTAATAAACACCTCTTAATTAATGAACAACACTGACTTTGTAAACACGGGAACACTGGGGCACAGGCAAGACACAAGCACGTTCAATTAAAGTAATTTATTGTGTTCTTTCAGAACGGACTTAAAGAGCATCTTGGGAGTTGATATCACAACACAATGTTATTCACCACTTCCACAGCTAGCCTGGTGTGGAATTCTTTTTTAAAGAACATAGTAATTTTTAAAAATCTAGATATTTACATATTAATAAAACATATGTACAGAAGATTGAGATGTTACCCATAGATATGGAATTTTACTTTTGCTAAGAAAGCCTATAAAAAGGATTTCTGAACAAAGTCTCAACAGTAGTCACAGTAACTTAACACAAATGCAATTTGAATTTACAAAATATGATTTTATGGTTGCAGATTTGATATGCATTTCCAATTTGAGAATCCATTGCACACATCTGTGAGTAGCAGAGTCCCTACCCCTCCTGAAGTATTGAAAACTCCAAGCTGTCACACAGCCTTGGAAGGAAGTGCTTTTGAAGGTTCGTGGTGCACATTTAAGAGATCTGCAGTTACAAGGAAATGTTTCCACCTTTGGTAGCAACATATTCCTCATAGCTTAATTGAGTGAAAGGTCACTAATTAATCTTTCCTATTCCCTTAAGGAAGATTTCATTCAGGAAGGCAGAAGATGAATTTTTGAGCATATGCTGCAGAAAAACAAAAACCCTGGTTTGCAATACCAGTTTGTCAGACCACTTGGCAGAAGGAGACCAGCTTCTGGAAAAGACTTACTGACTGGCTGGAAACGGGAAAGGCAACCCAAAAGATGTTACCGAAACAATTTCTCTGAAGCTTCCTTGTAGCTTTAAAAAAGACACACACACACACACACACACACACACACACACACACACACGAGCTGTAGCTGCCTCCAGTGAGACTGACTCCATACGCCACAGGGGACTAGCTGTGCATCACATTATGGGGTATCATGCATCTTCAGTTGATTAGCTGGGAGCTCCTCCTGTCCCCATGGTAGGACAGTACCTTGGACAGGGCAGTAGCACACCAGCGGGCACTGACTGGGTGGGCAGCAGAGCCTCTGCAGTGACTGTCAGCTCTCACAGGTTGGAGTGAGTGCTCAGGAGAGGGGTTACACTGCCTGCCTGGCGGCTTTAAACCCTAGGGTTTGGGGGACCTACAGTCAAGTGCCTTTCACACCAAGGTCTGGTCTTTAGGTAAAGTGCCAAGCTTCAGGGCAACTTGCTTTGTACAGTAAATGAGGTAAGGATGCAGTATCTCAAAGTGGTGCGTACTATTTCAGAGAGAAAGAAATCTGAAAGTAAATACTTATGCACAATGAGCAGCCACGTGGCAAGCTATGTCTGCAGTCAGCCCGGCCTTTCCTGTGTTGGATACAGAGTGAGGGCAGGTGCGCCAGGGAGCTGGAATCGAAGCGTGCACACTGTGGCAGGTCAACACCCAATGGAAAACCACTGGGGGAAACAGTCCGTCCAACTGGGTCCAGGTCGAGCAGGTAACTCCCTCTCAGGCGTTCCCCTTTTAATGGGTTGTTTTGTCAGCAGGCCAATGCAACTTCATACATTGTTTGCACCACTGGCTTCATCACCAGTGGCTCTTCGGGGGTACTGATGTCACCAATGATTCTCTCTAACATGTCAGAGCTGCCTGTCTCTTCAAACAACTTTTCCGTCTTCTGCACTAAAATAAGTCTAATTAATTGTGGCCTTTTCAGATACCTTCAGTCCTAGAAAGAGCCATACTTCTTTAGATGCAGGTAAGAAATTTACATTAAAATACATGTGATTCAAAACTTGACGTCGAGGTGGCAAATGAATAGAAAAATGGAAAGAACAGCTTCTTTGCCTTGGACGACCACCTAATTCAACACTGGACTTTAAAGGGTAACAAAGCAACTTTAAAAATGATTTTTAAAAATCTTATACTAAATTGGAGGCTTGATTCATCACACAACAAAGAGAAAACACATGAAACTATCCAAGCATGACAGGTAAACATCCCAGAGCACTCATATGCTGCTTGACCCTGGAAATGCTCTCTCCACCTTTGAAGTTCAAAGGCAAGAGTTACACGTGCTAATGAGCTCACAAAAATGAAAATCTCACAACAAAACCAGGGGTTCTGTGTTCTGTTTTCTCTGCGGGTGTCAGATGTATTACCTGCAACACAGACAGGACAAGGAAGGGGTAGCTCCCCAGGACAGTTGGTCGCCTGCCATTGAGGCTGGGATAAAGTTTGGGGGCTCCCTGGGAAGCGCCAGTCTTGCAGAATTAAGTCATCAAGTTTTTGACTAAAGGTCAGTTGTGCTCAATGAGCAGTTTTAGGAACTAGAAATAAGTAATGATCATACTTTATAGGAAACCCTGTACGTGCTGAGTATGCCCATATGTTGTGATAGAAAAGGGTTAAATAAAATATGATTGACCTGCAAAACAGATTATCATGCAGCTAATAATGTGTACAAAGATTTGTAACAAAAAGAAAAAGTGCTTCTTACGCAGAAATCTCCAAAATTCAGGAAACAAAGTCGTACATACAGGCTTTCCATTACCACAATAAACAAAATATAAAGAAAAGTCTGGAAAAACATCAAACATCCAACATTGGCTGCTTCTTCCTTATACTTTTTTAAAGAAAAATATGTGAAAGAATGCCAATTTGTGATGCAAACTGCTAAACACAAAGGAATATCACCCCACTATTTCAAACTCCAGAATCCCCATCTAACCTGTTTGGAGAGCACCTTTGGATGTTACTTCCTCTGGGCTCTTTGTTTAACGCTTGCTGCCCCATCCTTGGAGGATTTCTCCCCAGCCCTCCCTCTACCTCTGTGCAGCAGCCTGGGAGGAGGAAGCATTCCTGCCTCTCCCACTTGCCTCAGGCGCTTTAGCGACTGAGCCCAACATGGGGCTGATTCCTGTTAGCAGTTCAAAAGACTCAATCAACAAGGCCAAAACGGAATAAATTAAGAAAATATCCTTCTCCACCATGAACTCTGGGTCTAGCTTTGTTAAAAGCAGACTAACAGAAAGGTGCTTAAATGCAGTTGGTCAACACGGACATTATTTGTCTACCTGACTCACAGCAGCAGAGTTTCTACTTATTCCCTGCCTCACACATGCAAAACTGGAAGAAAAAACCCAAGAAAATGGTGACAAAGGTACCGCTGAATCTTTGCAGGGGACAAACATGGCCGGCCTGCTCAGTCATGGAACAAGGAAGGTCGGCATCCCAGTCCAGCAGCTCCTGCAGCAAGGAGGCTCAAGGCCAAGCCGAGACTGTGTGTGCAGGACGGGGACGGATGCTCAAGTGTGGCCAGTCACGCCAGGACACGAGAACAGGAGGGCCAGCAAGAGCACTGCATTCAAAGCTAACCAGCCTGGGGATCTACTTTGAGAGGCATGCTGGACCAAGAAGACTAGTCCACTCTACGACTGCCGAATCTGAGCACCAACTTGTGACTCTTTCTCTCTGCTAAAATGATAGTTTCACTGTCATGCTGTTCAGTGATTTTTATTAAATAGCTATCAGTAGTCTTGTGAAAAGACCAGTAGGTGCATTCTACCACTTTCTTAATTATGCCTCAAGGCTCTGGACAAAATCTGAGAAAGGACTTGAATCAAAGAGCTTGCACTGCAGCAGCCTTTGGGTGGGCTGACGAGGAACATCCTAGTAAACGTGAAGACTGTGGGACCTGAAACGCGAGGGGTCAGCACATCGCCATCTCTGAGCATCTTGAAGAAACATGCAGAGAGAAGCTGGCTTTGGTGTAGGTGTGAAAAAGCTCTACGGCATGTCAGCAGGGAGTCCCAGGCCTGGGCTCTGGCCAGGCTTCAACAGTCCAGACCCTGGCAAAGTTGTTTAGTGTTTCTGGGCCTCAGGCTTTTTTCTCTGTAAAATAAAAGGACTGGAGAAAATGAAGGGACTGGATTCGATGATCTCTCAAGTTCCTTCTATTCTCAGATTCCTTGGCAGCTTCTTCAATTCCATGCAGCCGCTCTAGCATCCCCTGTGCTCAGTTTTCTCGTCTGAAACATCTCTAGAGGCAGAGCCAAATGCAGACAGTTAAAAGCAAAGGAATTATTTCTGGGGGCATGGTTTTTAAAAAATAACACGAAAGCCACTGAGTAACACGACAGAGGACAGGTGGTGTCGACCCCCAGGGACCTGGGGGTGGACATCCTGGGAGGCACAGCTGGAGAAGCACCTGCTCCTCCCAGGGCCTCCAGAAACACATGTCCTCCCTGCATCCGTGGGCAGGAGTGATGAGAACAGGTCTGATTTGCACAGAATGACAGAGCAGGAGGGAACAATAGAGATCACACACTTCACTTCTCTTAATTCACAAAGGTGAAAACACAGCTCAACTTGAGGAGAAATCCCGCTCACTCCACGACTGTCAATGGTAAGCCTGACACACTCGGACCCTTTGTGCCCTACATAGCTTATTTGTCTGTTGATCTGCTGCACAGCTCCTTGCTACAGAGAAAGTGATAGATTATTCACACAACTGGGCTTTCACGCTGCATCGAGTTCACTAATGTGTGCCCATCTGACACCTGTGGACTTGGCCTGAAGCCCGTCTTGGGACATGTGCTGTCACTGAGCTCACGGTCACCAGGAACTCTGCTAAGTGTCCTTACCCACGCCAAATACTCCACTACTATGCCAAATTTAACTAAAATCTTATCACCGTAAGCCTAGAGGAAAACAGTGAGTTGAGCTTTTTCAGCCAGAGCCTTTTTGGTGGGTGCCTGAATTCTGTGGCTAGAATCTTCAGGTATGCTTTGAGGACACTCAATAAAGAATCTGGGAGAGAAACATTCCAACACACAGCTGACTGACCGACCAACCAGACTTGTCTGCCCACCTCTCGGGTGGGAACTGGTAAAGAAACAGGCAGGAGCGGAGGTTTACTTAAGAGATAGACAGTGCCATCGGAACCATGTGCACAGCTGCTCACAATGATGTGCAGCCAGCTCCGAACAAATGCAAGGCTGCGCTTAGCAGGTCTCGCTAAGTCCAAGAGTATCAGCTCTGCCAGATGGATTGGCTTATTCCATCACAAGTGACCCTCAGCAGTCACAGGGTGCCTGCACTGTGAGCAGGGGTGGACCGCCTTTCTCATGTCTTCTGCGTGGAGTGCAAGAAGGCAGAAGAGACATGGATTTGGTCACATAAAACCAGTGATCCTTGTGCTATAGTGAAATAAATCTCACTTTACCTCATGTTAAATTTTTAATGCCTAAGCCCTGAAGAGGCAAAATGTTGTGATACTAAGTTTTCAGGACTTCCATTTCTGAGATCTTTACGAACATGACACAGTCTGAGGCAAACGCAGCTTTTCACTCTCTTTACACTCAACAGGAAACACCCTGAACCCTGGGTCATCCTGGGAGCTCTGCCGGGTGGCTGGGCCTGTTCTGGAAGGGGGCTGCTCCGTGCCTGCATCTCCGACACTGAAAGCATTTCCAGCGCTGATATTTTCACGCGCGTTATTTCCCAGCAGTGATGAGAATGTAAATGTGCTTACCTGTTGGTGGCAGAGAAACACTGTCCAGTCTTTCATCACCGTCAGCTACCTCTGCTGGTTACAAACATAAAACACAAATCGCATTAGTTTCAGGGAGCACATTCATCTTACTGAATATAGAAATGCAATTAAAACATCTCCAGTGTACATAACAGTGTTCACCTTTCCTGTCCCTTTCCAGATTCAGCTAGTTCACATTATAGATTTTAGCACCATTATTTACATAGATGTTTTGATGATGATAATGATATAGATCATCTTTCCTGTATTAAACTTTTTGTAAATCTTACAAATCCTATTTCAGTTGACTTATTAACATGGGTGAAAGCATCCAACAAGCCCCTGGGGCAGACAGTTTAAGTGTGTCATTAAACGTGCTCAACACGGCAAATTCCCGCTGCAGAACTGCGATCCTCCCCTGCCGAGCCGCTCCTGGTGGGAAGACCAGAACAATCAGAGAAGGAACCTTTCTGTGAAGGTGCTGGGAAATTCAGCTCCTTGGCTTCCCCATCTAACCTGGGCATGCTTTCAGCCATGAAGAAAATCATAAAGAGGAGCTATGTATTTCTTCAAAAGCATCTTCTCTTCTGTGATTTAGAACATAAATCTTCCTGATAGGTGTTTCAACCTCTTTAGGAGTTTCTGCACAAGCAGATCCTTTAGTCACAAAACCTTTCACTAACTGCAGAAAGGCCTGTGAGCCTCCTAAACTGAAGGACACGCTGGTCCCCCCTAAGGTTTGAGGAACATCTCCTTGTGGTTGTTGGAGCGCTTTCAGTGGCCTCCTGTAGGGTTAGGGTTAGAGGACTCCTGGGAGTCACCTGTTAACAGCCACGGGGGCCTTCTTCTGCGTCACTGGGTTGGTGGGAAGTAAACCTCACAGCAGGTTCTCTTTTCTATTGTTCTGGCTTTAAACATTTAGACACAGCTAGAAATGACCCAAGATTTCCACCTCGAGATCTACCTCTAATGTCCGCGGTGCCTTCATCTGACATTAGTCAAACATCCACTGTCTACTGTGCCCCGGGTTTCACCACAAAGAGAAACACCCAGGAGAGGTATAATACTCATGCCCAGCTGTGGGAGTACAGCAGAAACTCCCAAATATGGTGCTGCAGAAGAATATTTAATAAAATAAAAATATGCAAGCCGAGCAAGAACATAAATGGCATGATTAAATTTTGTACACAGACTTATAGCTGAGAGATACACAGAAATCAGTTCTGGAGCAGAGGCTTTACGTATTCTAATTTTTGGTCTTTGGGTTTTAAGTAATTTATATATTAAAAACAATGAATACATGTCATTTTTATATTTAGAAGACATTACTCTCTTCTAATTGGAGTTATTTGGAATAGGTAAGAGATCCACACAGTAATTCTCTCACTGCCTGAGAGGGTTTTAAATAAAAACCTTCAGTAATAGGAACAGTAACTAATAACAGCAGTGATAGCCACCACCACTTCTCTTCTGCTAAGTCCTTAGCATTTACAGAGCTCTCACACTGCTGTGTCACTTAACCCCTGGAGGACTTCCCAAGGTAAGGCCATTACTACCGTCATTTTAAAGTCCTTTTAAAACACGAAGGAAGTGGGACAGGACTCCAGGTAGCACAGCTAGTGAGTGACCTGGCCAATGACTAAAGCAGGTCCAAGTCCTGGCTCTTCCGGATCTTTGCCATCAACAGTTCCACCATGTCGTAGACATTACTAGGAGCCAATGTTTTAAATCTTCAAGTTTTAGTTCATTTTATACTTTAGTAACTTTACATGTATAATAGAGGTTTAGTTAGTTACAGCAAAAATACGTTTGGCGTGTATGCTGATCTTCCCACTGTAATTCAGCTACCCTGACTTTTATAAATAGGCTTGTGCAGTTACACGCTTTCATGCACTACCAGAATTATATGTATGCTGTTACATTAAATTAGCTGATGAGACAGCAGGGGTGAACGGCAACACTCTTCTCATACTTGATTATAACATCTGTAACAAGTTCACAACCCTTCTTTCCTGTGACAATCAAGTTGTAAAATTTGGAAGTGACTGAGCAAGTCTGAAAAAAATTTAATAGCAGTGACAGCTTTACTCTTGGAGCTAACACAAATAATAAATTGTGATTTCAGCTCCAAGGAAGTAACCTAATGAAAATGATAAAAATCCACACCAGGAAAGGAATCATTCCAGTTACAGAAAAAAATTATTACATGTGATGAGAGCCTCAAGTGAATTTCTATTTGAATTTGCATAATGGCCTCTCAGATAGGTAGGGGCACTGCTTTTCTAGAGGTTACGCTGGCTTCCCCAAGCAGTTAGCTGATTAGCTTGCTCAGTCAGAGTCTGCATCCAGTTCCAGGAACTGAACTAATATTGTAAATAAGGTTGAAATTGTGGAATAGAGATGAGACATTGTTTGTATTATCATTTAGACAGAAAGCGATCAGGGCAAAAAATCATGAGAATAAGTAATGTTACTGATCTGGCACTTGGTCTTTGCAGAAAGTGCAAGTGGCTCCAGCTTGACTGTGTATGAGCCGAAGAGGAACAGTGTTTCCTATGCCAGGAGATGAGCTGTTTGGCAGGTCAGGCCTGATGCACAGTCATTTGGTCTGTGCCTCAGTGTGGCTCTGTTTTATCGCCACCTTCCACTTCTCTATGGCTAACCAAATTTGCTTGACACACACCACATACGTGAAGGTACAGCACTTCAACCCAGTGGCCCAAAGTTGAAGTGGCAAACATCCTGATGACCATGGAGCAAGAGTGGACAATTGCTCACACTTCTAAGAGAAGGGCTCTGAGGAAGGGCAGGCTGCAGGTCTTGTTCAGGAGAGGCAGGTGAAGGCAGGGAAATACATGCATCTGAGACGTGTTATGAACGGAAATGCTGTGGGAGTTAAGAACCGGGTTCACTGGCCAGGGTGGGGCAGGGAGGAAGATAGTCCTGGAGCCATCACTGGTCTCGGCATCTGACAACAGAGCTCTGCTTGTAGTTGGGCCTGTGCAGAAGACTGAGAAGTCAGCCCAAGTTTCTGTTTCACCCTGGGTCCAGCAAGGCTGCTTCTGTCCCTAGGAACAGCCTCCTCAGACATCTCCTATTTTTTATGATTTCTACATTCAGAGTCCCTCCACCTCCAGTATTAGAGATGGAATACAGAAAGCCTTGAGCTGTATACCCAATTCTTTCTAAAAGAGGATCTTGCTAAATTGTCCATGCCAACCTCAAACTTGGAATTTCCTGCCTCAGCTTCTTCAGCGGGTGGAATTACAGCTGTGTACAGGCATGCCCAGCTTGAAGGTTACTCTTAGTACTTGAGGAGTTCAGGTCCACTGGGGACTTTTCATCACTCCCTTAGCAGGAGGCACAAGCTCCCAAGGGAGCACCAAGCTCCTCCTTCCTTTCTTAGGTGGTCTCTGTTGCTTCAGTGAGTAACATCAACGGATCTAGGGGTCTACAGTTCCTTTTCCTCAGGAACCCTGCAAGCTTCAAGTATTTCTCACATTTCCCCAGGTGTCAGTCACTGTGACATAATATCTGAGACAAACAAATTGAAGGAGGAGCACTTTATTTTGGCTGATGGCTTTAGAGGTTTCAGTCCATGGTCATTTGACCTTGCTCTTCCAGGGCTTGTCACCAGTGAGGGAGGAATATCACCGTGGGAGTGTTGCAGGCAGCTCAGTTAGTTAGAAATATTATAGGCAGTGAGACAGGGCTAGGTCCTCAATGGAGCCAGTGCAGAAGCCCAGATACTTTGCAACTGTAGGGGAGACAGGACATCTGCTCTGGGCCAGGCCTCAAGACAAAAGACCAAACAAATGCACCCATATCCTGAGGACTGATACCCTAAATAGTTCCCTATTACCCTGAGGGAGCCTGCAGTCACCATCCCTTCTCCCTAGGGAAGAGTCACTGCTCTCTAAAAATGCCCACTTTCTACAGGACTTGCTTCCTCATTTGTCCCTAATATAATCAATTTTACCCGAACTATTGATCTTATTGGCTAACTATAGTTATCTCCTAACTTATGCCCTTCTGCCTTGTGAGTTCCCAGTCTTCCCCCACCTTGAACCCATCTGGTCCCATGATTTTGCTCTATAAAAGTCCCAGAAAAGACAGAAGCTTTCTCTCTCTCAATAAATATTTCTGCTCTTAACCTCCTTTGTTCTAAAATTCATTCTTCGATTTTAGAGAACACAAATTCACGGACATAGTAGGTGGGGGATTTCATTCCCCTATATCACAATCACATTCCCAAAGTCCCACCTCAGAACACCTGAAACTTTGGGGGATCCTTTATACCTAAACCAGAACAGCCCATCAGCTCTGATTAGCCTCTGTAAAGTAGGCAGGAACAGCCACGTACAGAAGGACTTCCTCAGGCGAGCTCAAAGTCGGGGGCACAACATCGATGTTGGTATTTGTTGGTGATTCCAAAACACGTGGAACCAAATGCTAGTTCTTAGGTGTGGTAATGCTTTCCTTTTTCTTTGGAGAAATATTAAATTTATGTTTTTTTCATTATGACACATTTTAGACTTCTCTCAAACTGGAATAATATATTTAGAGTCTTTGAATTCTGGGAGTCAACAATTTCCCCCTGCAAATCACCTGGGGATGCACTAGAAATACCTGAGGCTTGCAGAGAATCTGAGGGAAGGAACTGTAGAACCCAGGCCATCAAAGGGCCACAGAGACCACCTGAGGAAGGGACAAGAGGGCCCTGTGCTTTGTAGTCGTGGCTCCTGCTGAGGAGAGTGATTAAGGGACCCCAATGGACCCACACACTTCGGTTTTAAGAGAAACCGGCAGGCTCAGGGTGGTTCAGGCGTGGATTTCTAGCTACTCAAGAGGCTGAGAGAGGAAGATTGTAAGTCTGGGGCCAGTCTGAGTAACGGCAAAATCCTGTCTCTAAAAATCAAAAAGCACTGGAGATGCAGCTCTGTGTTTTCTGGGCTCAATCTAGGTAAATGAAATGTCTTATACATTCAAATAGTCAAGATGTCTAACACAGTAGCTGGGCAACCCAGGCCAGTTTAATCACACTCAAGCCTAAATCTGAAATCTTGACTTGGTGTAGAACCAAGGACAGGACACCAACAGGACAGACATCAGTACTCACTCAGGAATAACAGCCCCACTGCAGGAACCTACTGGGCAAATTGTCTGTCCTTCAAATGTAAAAGATTTTCTTCCTCTTCCAGCATGAGCCTATAAAAGGGGTCTTTTGTGATGTATAAGGGGGATGGGTGGATTCCTCCTTTACTATGGAGGAATACTGAGTCCTCCAGGAAGCTGTCTCTTCCCGGATGTTTTCTAATTCACTGACTCTGAGTAAGGTCAGACCACCACGACAGGAAACTCTGAATCTTTGGGAGATTATGGGAGAGGAAAGAAACCAGGAAAAAGGTATAATAGGTGAGAGGGCAGAGAAGGCAGTGAGAGACACAGGAGGGCAAAAGGGCGCTCCAGGACAGCCAGACCTCAGGAGACTCAGGCCAAGCAAACAAGGTCTTTTTCTTTTCTTATGGACTGCTGCCCTTTCTGGAACTACTGATGGTTTCACTGATTCACACAACAAAACTCTTTGACCATCTGTCCTGTGCCATATACTCTGTGTCCCCTGGAACTCAAACAGGGCCCAGGCACACTCCCTGCCCTTGAGAGCGCATGGTTCACTACAGGAAGCAGGAATATACCCCTCGGGCCTCTGATGCAGGCTCCAGGAGAAGGGCCGCTTTATGAGAGGGAGCAGCTCCCAGGCAGAGGGGGTGCATGCCCCTGTGAGACCAGCCCACCTTGGGAGACAGGAGAAAGCTGTGCGGCTATCAGAGCCTGAGGCCTGAGGCAAGAGACCAGGCTGGGGAGTAGGCAACTGAGGCAGCTGTGAAAAGGATCTGCTGGAGACTGCCATGGTTCGACTATGTCCTCCAAAGGCCAGGTTTATTAGTATATTTATATTATTATTATTACTGTCTTTTTTTGAGACAGGGTAACACTATGTAGTTCAGGCTGGCACTGAGTTCACTGTGTAGCCCAGGCTGGTCTTAAACTTGCAACAATCCTCCTGCTTCAGCCTCCCGAGTGCTGGGATTACAGGCATGTGCCACCACACCTGGCTTATATTATTTTTACAGTGTTAATACTTGTGATTTACTATATGATGCTTTGCAATATGCACACATTGTGGAACAGCTTAATTGAGCTAACTAATTCACTATTACCTCACATACTTTGTGGTGAAAACAAAACCTACACTTAATTTTCAAGAATAAGAGTATTATTAGCAGTTAACACTGTCAGACACCAGGTCACATAAGGAGCATATGTCTCCTACTGGAAGTTTTGTAACCCAATGTGACTGAACCTTGGGAACGACTCTGCTCTGTGGGTTCTACACTGTGGCAGCATGTGGCATTTGTCTTTCTGTGCCTGTCGCACTTAGCATGCCCTTCTCCAAGTTTATCTGTGTTTTCTTCACTCATTCGTCCACTGAGGGCACTGATGTTGATTCCTTATCTTAGCCATGGCGAAGACGCTCACCAAACACAGGAATGCAGGTATGTCCTCAACATACTGATTCTGTTGCAGGCAGCTGAGTTAGTTAGAAATATTATAGGAAGTGAGCCAAGAGCTAGGTCCTTCAAGGAGCCAGAGCAGAAGCCCAGATACTTTGCAACTTTGGGGAAGACAGACACCTCCTGCTGTGGGCCAGGCCTCAAGACAAAACACCCAAACAAATGCACCTATATCCTGGGATTGATACTCTAAATAGTTCCCTATTACCCTGAGGGAGCCTGCAGTCACCATCCCTTGCCCCTAGGGAAAAGTCACTGCTCTCTAAAAATGCTCACTTTCTACAGGACTCCCTTCCCCATTTGTCCCTAATGTAATCAATTTTACCTGAACTATTGATCTTATTGGCTTACTAATAGTTATGTTCTAATTTATGCCCATCTGCCTTGTGAGTTCCCAGTCTTCCCCCACTTTGAACCCATCTGGCCCCATGATTTTGCTCTATAAAAGCCTCTAGGAAAAACAAGAGTCCTTGGCAACCCACTCGGGACCCCTTCTGTCTCTCTCTGACAAAAGCTTTCTTTCTCTCAATAAATACATTCTACTCTTAACTCCGTTGTTTTTAAAATTAATTCTTTGATTTTAGAGAACAGGAATTTGTGGACACAGAAGGTCAGGAGTTTCATTCCCCTATATCAATTCTGCTGTTACTAATTATATACCTAGTAGTAGGTTAGGCAGTTCTATTTTTAATTTTTTGAAGAGCCTCCATACTGTTTTTCATAACACACATACTGATTTACAGTATTTAGAAGTAATACCTACAGATCTGGGGCTTCACGGAGACAACTGTTCTTGTAGCACAGGAAAAGAAGGGTAAAACTAGCCACCGCCACATGGCGAGTCTACAAATTCAAATAACCAAATCTACATAGTGACAATCCAACAGGTGCTCACTTTTTCTGGAAGAATAATCCCCAAGTCATCAAGCCCAAATATTTAAAACACACACACACACACACACACACACACACACACACACACACACACAACTTAAAATCCCTGCCTATCCACTTGATGGGATAATTCTGGTATGATGATTTTTCCTATTTCTTTACCTTAAGCAATTAGGACTTTTATAAAATCATTCAGAAACTGATATAGGGGAATGAAACTCCCAACTTGGTATATGTCTGGTATGAGTTTGTGTTCTCTAAAGTCAAAGAATGAATTTTAGAACAACAGAGGGTAAGAGCAGAATCTATTTATTGAGAGAAAGAAAGCTTCGGTCTGAAAGAGAGACAGAAGGGGTCCTGAGAGAGTTGCTAGGGACTCTGTCTTTTCTAGGGACGTTGATAGAGTAAAATCATGAGATTAGATGGATCCAAGGTGAGGAAAAATGGGAACTTGCAAGGTGGGCATAAGGTGGGACAGAACCAACCAATAAGATTAACTGCTCAGGTAAAAACTGATTAAGTCAGGATCAAATAGGGAGCAAGTCACACAGCAAGCAGGCATGTAGGGGCTGGAATAATGACTTCCTTAGCAGGGTAGAGAACTACTTGGACTATCAGTGCTTAGGATGTGGTTGTATTTGCTTTGTCTTTTGTCTTGAGATTTGGCCCCCAGCAGGGGATGCCTGTTTCCTCAGAGGTGACAAGGTATCTGAACTTCTGCACTGGCTCCTTTGAGGGCTAAACCCTATCCAACTGCCTATAATATTTCCAACTAACTCAGCTCACTGTAACAAAACGAACAAACAAAAATCAGTAAATGAACAGACACAAATCACAAAGGACTGTCCTGGTTTTGTGCATAAGACATATCTGACCACACATAAAATTTGCAATGTTTTCCAGTTGTACTACTGAAAGCAAATGGCCCTGCATAATTTCTACTATTTAATCTTAAAGTGAGTTTCAAAATTCACTTGAGTAAGGCTTTAAGATGGCCAACCAGAAAACATTACAGTATGTTGAGTGTCTCTTTCAAAAGACAAAGGACACTGCAATACTCCAGAGGAAAGTATCACGTTTTATAAAGGCTGAGAATTCAATAAAGTCCTTCCACAAAGTCCTTGTACAACTCTTCATACCTGAGCCTCTTTTTAACCTTCTTCTGGCCAATTTAATTTGATCCTGGAGAATCTGTACCCAGTCTCTTGGGCCAGGGAGCTTGTCCACATGGTTAGCAGTACAGTACTTTTCAGTGAAGACTGAAAGAAAATGCAGAATACTGTTAAATACTTTAGCAAATAAAAGGTACAGATCTGAAGTAGGAACATAGCCCAAGAAGACAACAAAAAGTTCTCTGTTGCTTGCTTTCTCTTCTAGTAGCATTGGGAACTGAACCCAGGCACTCACATGCGCTCTACCACCAAGCTACATTCCCAACCCTCAGAGTCTGTCTCCTCTGTGTGCTTTCTGTGTCTGCACATTGTTCCTTTGGTACAGGCGGTGATTTGCTGGGCCCTGGCTGCAGACAAAGATTGCATTTCTAAATGGAACTGGCTAGAAATGCTAAGCAGTTAGCATGGAGACTGGTCTTTCTGCTTGCTCTGGATCTGCATGTCTGCTTCTTATAGGTAGAAAAGAAGATGCTTCTATGGATCCACTGGCCCCAGGACAGGTTTAGCATGATGCTGCTCTCATGGTGATTCCCACTAATTCAGTCAGTACTCAAAATAAATAGTAATGCAGTATGTCTTAATGAAATCATGAGACTCAATCTAGATAAAATTCTTCCTCTTCATCAACCCCTGGCATACGGTATCAGCTCCAAGAATGAGCTGCCCTATTAAACACAAAGAAACCAGGAGAATCACATGCAGGACAAAGGAGAGGCGAGCCAATGCCCTCAGGAAAGCCGTGCACAGTGTGTGACTGCCTGTTAGGTGCTGGTGGTGACATTTCTGCCTCACATTCCACTCCTGAGCACTTTTAAACTTGCCTTTTCAGCGGGCTCTCCATAAGGTCACCTCCTGGTCTGTGGTCACATCACACCACCTTCTTGATATTTAAATATCAGTAATTTTAATGTTTTAAAGGTTTCTTTTAAAAAGAAATGACAAAGGAAAATATTGACAGACTTGACTGTATAAAAACTGAAATTTCCACTGAATGAAAAATAAACATTTCAATAGGACAAAAGCTAGGTGCACTAAAACTGACTGAAAATGTTCAATATCTACCACCTAAAAGGAGTCCATTCAAATAAAAAGAGTAACCTCAAAAGTCCCACAGTTAAATGGAGAGCATATACATGCAACATGAAATACTAGAAAGAATACTCAGCTAATACCTAAGTTAAAGCACTTTAAAACACTATTACCTTCTAAGTAGAAAAACAATGTTAAAAAGCTTCTATGTGACATTGATGAAATGGTGGGAAACCAACATAATCAATGACACAAACTGGGAAATCCTTGTGGGAAATAAGACATTGTAAGTGACATCAGATACCTCTGGACTGGTAATATTATTCCTAGAAATTTATCCTAAGAAAATAATTTGAAAAAAGAAAAAAAGCCACATATATGATCTCAGTGTAAGCAATCCAGTGGTGCAGGAAAAGCTAAAGAGAGCCAGGAGCCACAAGTAGGGTCGACCTGTAGGCCGGAGGGAACAGGGCTTCAGAAAGCTCCTGCAGTGTTCCTGGCTGAGTCCGCAGGGGACAGCTGCTCACTCCACTGGAAGCAGACTGTACGTGTGGCAGTGAAGATGACAAGTGAAAACCCATTCACTGCAGAAATCCACTGAGCAAGAGCACAGTGCCAAGCATGTGCCCAGAGTACGTGGTGCTTAAAAGGGGATGCAGGCAGAGAAGGCAGAGAAAGAGGTCAGTGTCAAGGGCACCAGGAAGAGTGGTCTTACAAAGTGTCACAAGCGGTTTTAAAAAGAGGGAAAAGTAGCTTTAAGTGCAGAGTAGGGGCAGCTAGACACTGTGGCAAATGCTCGCCAAAGAACATTGAGGACTAGAGACAACATGCGCAGAATAACCTCACATTCCTGTCCAGAGTAGCAGGGCGAGGGGAGGAAAGCTGGAACGCGATTGGCAGAATGGAGCAGCCAATATGACAGGAGGATACAGCATATGAGAAAAGGCGGAGCCACTCCAGGAACCATCTCAAAAGAGCTGGGGCATAGGAATCCAGAACAAAAATGGAGGAGCTGCCCCAACAGGAGGGAAACACCCTCTGCTGCAGCCAGGGTCCATCTGAGTGGCTCTCAAAGCTCAGTGAACTCAGTGGTGAGGCACCATGGCAGAGGGAGGATGGGAACTTCTGGAAATGCCCTGAGGAGAGTAAGAAAAGCAGCCGGCTCAGGACACCCAGTAAAGTGACCAGGCAGTGCATAGCAACAGCAGCAGACGCGGGCATGTGGTCTGATCTAAGACACTGGATGGGAGGGCTGGCCTGGGCCAGGGTTTTGCAGTACAGTTTCTGCAGAACAGGGATGTAAATCTGCTGGAGATGGAGGGAAGAGGTCACCTGGAATGAATTCCTCACCTTTCCAACCTCCACTACCCCTCAATTAGGAAAAGGGAGCGAGACCAGAAAAAGGTGCCCAGCCTTGGGATACACAGAGATCAGAAAACCAAGATATCAGGGGGTTGGCAGAAGGGTCAAGGAAGGTGCGGCAACCATCCAGAACATTCCCACGGCAGCAGTGGAGGGGCAGTGTGGCAGAACAATAAGGCGTGTCCAGTGGTACAGGCAGAAACACAGCAGAGATTAGGGGCCTCACAGACGAGGTCCAGCACCATCTGGTCACAGGTTAGATGGGTCTCTGCATGGACAGTACAGCTCTCCAAAATGAAGCAAGTCCTGGAATGGGCTCAGTGGAAACGTCTGATGACACCCTCCTGAGGCAGAGCTAGAGAAGATAAACACCACGCAGGCGCCCATGTAGGTGATGTGGGGTGAGCAGGTGCTCCACCTGGAAGACACAGAGCTGCCAGGGTGGGAGAGGTACACTCTCAGGTCCCCCGCACCAGGTCACAAATGGCATCGGGGCCATCCTTTCTTTGTCTCTCTCCGAGCATACTGCCTTGCAGGAACAGAAACTCAAGAAATACGTGATACTAATCCTGTTTCCCAGTTTTGTTTCTAATGGAAGCAAATGCAGGAGCTCCCAAATTGAGGCTATAAGGGGGGAATGGCCCATCTGAACTAGTAGGAAGCCTTGACTAATGGAATATGTTTAAATATTACATGCAAATGTCCATGATAACACTAATTGGAGAAGTGTCAAAAAGTCTTGACATTCCATTTTATAAAAATGGAATAAAATAAAAAATATATTTGCATTTAGAACCCTTTTCAAGGATATGAAAATGCATCCTTTAGCTCAGTGGCATAAGCACCTGCCTTGTAAGCAGGCGGTCATGAGTTCGATCCCTGGTACCGGTAAAAATGAAAAAGACAAAAAAAAAAAAAAAAGAGAAAATGCATCCTACAAAAATGACTCAACGTACTATCTTGGCAGGTAAGTATCTTCTCACCTGTACTATTACTTACACAATTAATTCCCATAGCAACCTCTCTTTTCCTAAGATTGTGAAATGCATGTGTCCAAACTGTCTCACTTTAGAAAGCAGCTGTTCCAAAATAACAAAGTAGATTTGGCTGTGCCAACCTCGAAACCACTCCCGTGTGACCACAGTGAAGCTCAGAACCGAGAGAGGCCAGGAAGGTTCTCTCAACTCGGGAGGGGCCAAAGGTCAGACTTTGCCATTCTAACCTTGAGCTCAAGCATCTGTCACTCATTCAAAGGCAGCTCTTTCTGCTTATTTTTCTCCTTTCAGTTAAATCGTCTCTGATTTCAGGAAAATTGTCTCCTGGGTCTCTGACTGAGACCTTTGAAGGCGCAGCCCTAGGTTTTTGAAAAATACCTACACAAACGTTTCTGCTGGGTACATTATTGACATTCTGGTTCATGGATTACATCCAAATTTAAAAAGAGACTTTTAACTAGAATTTATCTACTGAAGATGAAATTTTATTTTCTCCATTATAATCGCAGATGAGGCCCTAGAACAAGGCCAAGAGTCGGCCATGGTATTGATGTGAAAACAGTCAATATTCCGTGTGAATACAGGTACGGCGTAAGCAGAATATATTTTTGCTTTCTGAATCTATAGCTAAAGGTCAAGCTATTATCCCGGTAACAGTTCCATTAGGAGTAATGATGTGAAAAGAGGTATTGCATTAATGCACTGGGTTTCCTACTAGTTAATAGTGGGTCATTAAGAATCATAGTAGGATAATTTGCATTCATCCTTAGAATACAATAGGTTCTAAAAAGAAATTTCCCTCCTTTCCTGTTTTAATATATTAAGGAAAAGTGAGGGCTAATTCTAAATGATTCCAAATAACCTGAACAAGTGGAGTGAGGCCAACAATTAAACCAAATAAAAGAGCTTAAGCATCACTCTGGTTAACATTATGTGAGGTCCCAAGGCACAGAGAGATGTTAAGTCACCAGAGAAATGACAAATGCTCAAGTCGATCCGTACGCGAACAATGACTTTCCCATTGCTCACATGCATCTGAACCCTTTCATTATTCATAAATAATGAAGAAGCTTGTGATGGCTGGGCAGATACTTCTGTAGCATGTAGCTTTTAATAATCCTCAAAGAACTCTGTGCTGGGCAGTGTGTCCGACAGGCTGACCAGACCACCCGAGACTGGTGTGCACTGCTCTCTGCTGGAAGGATTTCTCATTCAGGTTTTTCTGGCTGTGCTGGCAAAGCAGAGTAAGGCAAGGACTCTGAAAGGATGCATCGTGTCCTACAGGTACTTGGAGGAGCAGACCTGGGCTTGCCAAGCTTTGACCACACCATGGAACCCGCCAGCAGTTCTGAGCTGCAGTGATGGTTCGCCTTGGGATACGATGGCTGAGATGTAACCTGTCACACAGACAGATGGGAACCAAGGCTTACTTCAAGTGCAATGGACATCCTGGTTCCTTAGAGGACGTGCCAAATTCTGAGGACCTCAGTGAGGGTGAGGCAAAGGGCTCTCTGCTGTAAATTTTCCTGTGCCAGGCAGAACAACACAACTGGAGACCCCCTACAGTCAGGGAAATGCAAAGCAAGAGGGAACCAGGCATCTCTGACTGAAGCGGTGCATCACTCTCTCCTCCTCCCCCCTCCTACTCTAACAGCTAGTGTTTGAGCCAGGTGTGGCGGTGCACACCCATAACCCCAATAC